GGCATTGCCCTCATAATCATTCGAATATTATTTCTTAAGTAGTGCATATAACTTTTGACAGTTAACTAGTGACATCCTGTATCACTTATGGGTGGGTACTTGATTCCACGCCACAAATTGTTGACGTTGTGAACTGGAACCTCTCCTGTGCGAAACAATAATAATATATATTTCTTCCTGTCTATGCAGGAACATACCAATAGTACGGGCATGGGTAAGTTAATATATAAATTACACATAATTTCATGTATGATGAATTTACAGTTTGGGGAATAATATTATATATAAACAGCATCAGTAGACACTTTAGTTTAGGTGAACCACTTCCGTGTGCGGACGACTTAGGAGTAATATGCACATACAGAAATACAGATTTAGGTGAGAACATAAATTATGCACGAAGAATTGGCACAAGTGGATAGATAAAGCGACACCTGGTGACTGCATTTTAATACTGAAAACCTTGGCTGTCTGTGAGCAGGTTGTTCCAACCTCGTACTTGATCTAGCAGTTGAAGACCCTTCAGACTGAAATCATTTCTGGGTCTAGGAATGCAATGTCCATGTGATCTATCTTTCTCACAGAATACCTCCAAGTTAGTATTAAAATCACGCAAACATATTGGCTTTCCACTTAGGAACTTCTACGGAAAAAATCCAGAGTTCTTCAGCGCCAGGTTCGTGTACGCCCACCATTTGATTACTGCCCATTCATACTTGGCAATAAATATAAAGGGGATAAATCGGAAGTTGAGAGCTCACAGTGCCACTTCACACTGAGAATGGTCGGAACCGAGAACGACACAAACTACTTCACGAGGTGTGAGGCTTTAGAGCTAGAGGAATGATACCCAAAACTGATGCGACTAAGCTTGGCAATTTTCCACCAGCCTCCAAGCCACGTAGTGTTTGATTATTTTAATATTACTGGATTTTCAGATGACAATGCAGATAAATTAAGGCACACTAAAAGGGCGAAGTTTAAGAATAGGGTCCCAAAACCTTCAACGCTCAAATGACCTTGAACGCATGCTAGTCATTGGCTAACGGTTCCTGTCATTATCATAGCTGAAATATCAACCCTATTCATCAAATAAGGAGCAAGTTTCACCCAGATAACACTTTTATTACTGTTTGGACAATGTGTTAACATCTCGTTGGGGTTAGGATAGGGGTTAAGGCGAGTATTGTGGTTAGGGTTAGGGTTAGGTTTAGGGTTTAGGGTTAGGGTTAGGGTTAGGGTTAGGGTTAGGGTTAGGGTTAGGGTTAGGGTTAGGGTTAGGGTTAGGGTTAGGGTTAGGTTTAGGGTTAGGGTTAGGGTTAGGGTAGCGATTAGGAATAGATTTTTCGTTTATTTCAAGTTCTTTTGTTATCCTTATTTCCCTTGTATGTAGTCGCCAACGCTCTTACTGGAACCATAGTAACTAAACCGAGGGCTTAGGAGAGGACTACACAGCAATAGAAGAGAGATGAACCATTCTCAAAACAACACACCTTCAGTCTCTTTGGTGAATACATCTACAGAAACTAGTCCAAATTAGCAACTGTTACTCTTCATCGCAACTGGAAAGTATTTTTAAGTCATATCAGAGAAATGTAATCCGTTTAATCTTTTTTTCATGCATTTTTGTGTAAATATACGTAAAATTTTATGCAAAAATCGTCCTATTTTCTGATTGGTCGGCTCAAGGTCATTGTGCGTTCGCATCGCTTGGGACCCTATTCTTAAACTTCGCCACTAAAAGTACAGTGGCTGTTTAACAGTGCCAAACAGTGGCAAATGACGTACATGGCTGGACATGGAACAAACCATCACCAGAAAGCAAACTAACGCCTCTTACAATCACAGCTATACTTTTAAAAAATTTATATTATTCTCCGCTTTAGCTGCCAAACAATATAACTTCCTTCTTGCAATACTGGTGCTTTGGAGTTAAAATCGAATAAATTACATAGTATTTATCGGTACGAAGCGTCTACGTAACAAAAGGAACTTAGGGATAAGTTCCTCGACAGTCGATTTCGCCATTTTATGAGTAACCTGAAATATCTACTGCTTGTAACGCAGCCTTCAATTATTGCGCCCTTTTCGGCTAAATTCAAACAGTAACGGCACCTAGGGGTATACCATGTTAATTACTTTTGCTTACATAAAGTGACCTTAATGATACTATTCCGTTGGCTTTTCTTATATACACCTTGTGTTATTGAATAACTATAAATATGCCTACCCCGTGTACATACTATTCAACATACTGACGATACCTGTAAATTGTCGTCCCTCATGTAAAAAGGAATGTGAATATATTATTGCTGCCGAAAATGCGGCAAGTAAGCGAACTGGTCTACTTTAAGAGGGCAGTCAATGACTCGATAAATGATTTTACAATCTACAATAGTTCGAATTCCTATGCATGCAAAAGCTTTAGAGGTCATAGACTCACTTGTTTCAGTCACCGTTTGCGATTTCAGATAAGGAAGAAGCAGCAGTCAGGATAAAAGCCCACAAAAGAGGTAAATGTGATATCTCTCCGACACAAAAAGTGAAGTAAGACCGACATACGAACAGCATGTAAGAAAACGAGGATGTGACTTGTCACAACCTCATGTGAACAGAGACGCACTTCCGAATACCCTTAATATCTCTTTGGCTCTAGTCCACTTTTCTGAAAGCAATACCGTGATGTTATATCCATGATGACGTGAGACTGTAAATGTCCACAATGTAAACTCTTTAACCTTCCCAATATTTAGTAAGCGCTCACTGGTGGTAGAAATCAACTAATTAATGCATCTGGATTATATGTATGTATATTTTACATGACGACATATGGCGATACCTTGGGGAATATCTCAACATTGTATGGCAGTCGAATTCCACACGAAATGTAACCAACTGATTCCCTGTGTGAACACACTGCTGTACACATTTGGATGTCCATCCACATGTTGATTGTCATAGTGGTTCACCTACATTTCTTGTTGATGAAAAATCACACAACATATTAAACAGCTTCTAAATACAGATATTTATTTCTTGTATAGAGCCATAACTCTCGACAGCATGTAAAGTACGTTTTAAGACACTCCTGTATATATAAACTTTGGTTCGTGTGAACACATTTGAGTATATGCACAAAGAAACGACCATTTGCACATAAGAAGGCTGTTTAATACTACTGAGATCGGTATTTATCCAGTGTTTATATGCTACTCCTCTCAACATCTAAGGTTTATTCATACGTCTGCCTGTTAACTGCAGTTGTGCTATGTAGTCATTGCTTTTAACCGAGTAATGATGCGTATAAATTAGCATCCCTTGTATACCGTGCTATGAGAATAAATATCATTATTATAACTTTTCCGAATAATAACAACAGTATATTTTTGTTTGAGCAAACACTTACGTCAAAAGCTTGTCAGTTTTTTAGGTGCTACAAAGCGTGATATAATATCACGTGGTTAAGTGTCAATAGATGTTTGTTGTATCAGTTGGTCAAATAGATGATTTTAACGCAATTAATTACCACCACGTGGTATCCTTAATCTTGTATTCTAAATTCATCGTCAGGAACGGGCTAGCATCACAAATTTCATCTTCATTTCTGCTGATAAGTGTAGTGAATCTGCATGCTTCTATTGTTAAAGCAGTGTTGAGGTAAGAACCACGTGACGCATAGGCAGTTTGGTGAAGTAAAAAACCATATATCCAAAAATAACAAGAGCACTAACGTTCCTGAAAGGACCGATCGCACCAGTCCGGAGAATCAGGAGGGGAAGAAGTGGTTAGAACTGGTTATTTATAAAATGGAAACAAATTTATGAAGAAAAGTATTCTGCTTAATATCCTTAAACTCCTTTACGCATAATTTTACGAGCGCAGTGTTACTTACCTGGTCTCACTCCCTCGCCTTGACTGTATGCTCAAATATCACCAGATTGCTATATATACATATTCATGAGCCAATATTATCCTTTCCTAAAGGCCAATATAAAAAAGCGAAAAACGGATATGAGTTATATCTGACCGCTATGAGCATAGTTAACAATAAGAGATCCACAATGATTTAGTAGACAGAAATAATTGTTTTTCGAATCTTAGGTGACTTTTATGCCACGCGGAAACTGTGTGAGAAAGAACGCAATAAGATGACGATTGAGAAACGCTATCGCTCCTATATGAATCATAAATATAAGCTCTTTATTTCTTTGATATCCTACGCGCAGTCCTTTGTAATAGCGGTTCCTAACCAAGTCGTCCTACTACCTGCGTTGCTGATTATCACTGAAAGGGGTTATTTATGACCGAGAAGGAAGGATCACTGTCTGGATAAGCAGGTCCCAGTATAACGACACCAATACTACCCTTTGGGGAAAGGAAATTAACATGTTGCGCCGGCAAAAAGACTTCGGGAAATTTGGGCTTCGTGGACGGTCTATATTTAATGTCACACAAATACTAAGATCTACAGGGAGAAACCAACACACCGGCGGGAGAAGAATAGAAGAGACTTCAAGCAAACATAGAATAGAGCGAGAGAGATGATTAAGGTACCTAACTAACAAAAGTGCAGCCAAAAACGTAGACGATGATGGGCTTTGGAGCACCACCACCTACTTATTGCTCTCAAACAATTTGACATCGCTCTGGTTCTAGAAGTTTATGCGATCATCTTAGATTTCATCTTCCTATCCAATAGGAACCTATTCATTCTCACATGATACAATTCACTCCGTATGAAAGCTTGAAACTAAACTGTTGAGAAAACGACACCAATACGTAAGTGAGTTAAATTACCACACTGTCAGATTATAAATTCAGGAAGAAGGTGCGAAGCGCTACACAGCAAGGTTGGGTAGAAGGACTGACTTCAAAATTTATATTCAGCTAAGTGTCAGTCACCTTATCATAACAGACAATACATCTAAAATACATATTAGACTGTATTTACTAATTATCCAACAGAAATTCCCGACACATTCTAATGTTAAGAACAAGAGTGTCAGCCACGTAACGTAAACAGTCAATGCCCAGCTCTTGCTACACTGGGATTCACGCTGTTCCTTGAAGTTTCTCAGAAACGCCTAGTAATAACGAACGCGAAAACCAAAACACCGATTGGCCACTCGAGAATTCTTTATTGTAACACCAACATATAGGCAAAATTAATATTAAGTTTTAACTAAGGTCTATGAACAAATATTACAATAATAAATCACAATATTACTTCTGACGGTTTATTGCTGACTTCTTCTGAACAGCGACCGATGAGACGATGATTGTCGTATTGATGCCTCCGCGAAAATTGGGGAAGTTGATTTTAAGCAAACAACCATGAATTGATCGTTCAATCTTCAACTACATTGACACTCCCCGGCAAAATACGGATCCAACCATTTTTTCCATCACGACCAATACACGTTGACTTCGATGCCATTGCGAGAACCTGGGTCACACGGACAGAGCTGAAATGGAAAACAAACAGAAAAGCCAACACACCACAAGTATACTCATAGCACAATCTCACATATCAATGACGACCTCCGCATTCCAGTTAAAGGTGTCCTCTTGACACATCCTCTTGCAACACAATCGCCACTTGCTAGAATGTCTCTTGCAGAATGCGAGGTGACCATAGCACCACCTCATGATGCTCGTCGCGCATCCTCTCATCTATTCACTACCAATTACCACTGCAATCGCTTGTCACTCATTCTGCCTCAATTCTAGTAACGGTGATGTAGGCAAGCCTCAGCCGTCTACACTCTTGCTCCCCGGCGTGTGGGACCGCAGCTAACAATTATCTCCGTATGCATTTCATTCTCAGCAATAGCCTAGCCTCCCCGGCGTATACAACCCATCTGCTGTCTCTAACATCAATCAATTCATTCACGGATGTAGAAAGCTAGAAACAACTTCAGAGGTAATCACGACGAAAATTTTAGCAAAATTACCCAATAAAAACTAGGTACGAAAACAACGAGTAAACACAATGAATCCAAAAACACCAATTGATATGACACACCACACATATATAAAAACAGTTAGCACAAAATCGCGGATAAGGTCTTGATGGAATTCCTTCGAAGAATTGCAGGACTTACACCAGTACGCCTACAACACCTCTCAGGTTGACGATTGTGAGTTGTGCAATGTCCGGACACACACGAGATCAATCAACAACTGCAATAATTGGAACATACACAATTATTTAACACAAACATATGTACAATCAACACATCAAATGTTGTGGATTCTGGCACGACAAACTACCCTCGAAGAACTGTAGGACTTACAGCAGTACGCCTACAACCCTCTTCAGGTTAACGCCCTAGGTTGGAAAATCGTCGCAGAGTTCATTTGCTGACTTCCTTCTATCAGCTATATCCTCAAATCTGAACGGTAACACGCTCATGTCATTGTATCGTAGAATATAGATGACGAACAAACATACGACGTATCTGGTCAACCAAGCGTAGAAACAGAGTAATTTACACCAAAGATAATACCATTCAAATAGTAACTTGAAACTAGAAATGCCTTTATTCTTGCAAGTCAATTTAACAATTACTCTCTCGTTTACACTTGGCTTATCCTCACTAAACTGACCAATATCTTTCGTCTCTTCAAAAGGACTGATACTATCATAGTCATTGCACAAGATACTTGAGTTGATGGGCGTCTGTTTCATTGTGGATGACAGCACCAACGACGACTGATTGATATCAGTTGATGAAGTTAGCGGTGGATCAGAAGCTGTTGTTGCTCGACTTTCAGAAAGTTGTCTACCTGCAAGACCACCACCACTGCTGTCTTTTACTATCAGCTCAAATTTAGCACTAGCATCTGATAATAGGTGGGCTACATGCTGATCACTCACACTGACGGTCTGACAAGTATGCATGCCTTCTGCAACTGCACCTGAATTTATTTCTACTTCACGTTCAAGTTGTACAGCACTTTTGTTCAACTTAGCAGTAGTAGGCACTCCCTCATCTCATCATGATCAACCAAAGACAACTGTGAAGTATCATAATCATTATCACAAATATTCACTTCACCATCATCTATCTGGTCGACTTCATCATTTTCAAACTCTTTAATAACAGAAGTAGACAATTTTGGTTCCTCCTTGCAAATCATAAAAGGTTTAATAACTTCACTCTGACCAGTTATACTTTGTAAACTTGTAGGTTCAGAACTGCACTCTGAAGCAGTAATTCTATTTTGTGACACTCTATTCAACAATGGCTTATTAGTTGTCAATGGAGTTGATGATTGAACGATCAATTCTTGGTTGTTTGCTTAAAATCAACTTCCCCAATTTTCGCGGAGGCATCAATACGACAGTCATCGTCTCATCGGTCGCTGTTCAGAAAGAATAGTGAAACATCGTCAGAAGTAATACAATGATTTATTATTGTAATATTTGTTTTCAGACCTTAGTTCACTTATTCTTTTTATATGTTGGTGTAACAATAAAGAAATATCAAGCGGCAGATCGGTGTTTTGGTATTTTCGTCCGTTATAACTAAGCGTTTCTGAAATCTTCAATGAACAGCGTGTGCCCGAGCGTAGGGAGAGCTGGGCATTAACGCTTTATGAGACGTGATTGACAGATTCTCAAGATGGAAACAGATCTGGCGGATTCAAACAGTTTCTGAATGTTTGCATAGTCACCGTTCATCTTCCCTGGTGCCGGTCAAGTCCTCTTTGAACAAGCAATATCTGGAACGTTTTCGGAACTGGGTCAAGTTCAACAATGCCTGGGTCAAAGAAGAGACAGAGCGTCTTGGATGCAAACAGGAAAGTAAGTCATGTTGACTTGTCTGTTAATTGTAACGATGTGCCTGATGTTAAGCATGACATGGTTGATGTTACTGTTTCGCCGTTCAGGGATAATAGGAACATCAAACTCCCTAAATTTGAACCACGGTGTTTTGATGGAAACCCGGCTGATTATTTACAATTTGTAAAGGAGTTTGAGATCATGTTGAGTGGTTTTTTATTAAATGATGAATTGAAGTTAATGTATTTGATGAGGTATTGCACTGGAATTGCTGCAAGAGCTATACAGTGCTGTACGTTTATGAAGCCAAAAGAGGGCTACGATGAGGCTATGAGCATATTATGTCAAAGGTTTGGAAGACCATCGATGATTGCAGGGAAATTATTCGAGGCTGTTAAGGGTAATGGTGGTCAATTACAGGATGACTCACAGGCACTCACTGAGTTTTTGGATAATTTGCTAATTTACAAGAATCCAATGATTTCGATGAATCGCATGAGTGTCCTCAACTCGAGTTTTATACTAGATGTAATAGCAAGACGCCTACCTGCTTGACTACAAAGGAAGTGGGTGAAGATAACCTCCCGTATGGACGATGAGGGTATCGAGCCAAAGTTCGATGATATCCTGAAACTAGTAAAAGATAGTGTCAATCAGTCTATGAGCAAGTTTGCCAGTCTATTACATCTCACCCTTAGAATAGAGCAGTCTGAGAGCAAAATGCAATCATTGATGACGAAAGGGCCTCAGAGAGGTGGATATCGAGAAGGCTCCATGATGTCTAGTAATGCATATAGACCTAGTGAGTATAACAGGTTTCGTAGTACATCCTCAACAGATAAGTTACAAGATGCAAGACAAGCACGGTTGTGTTTTACACGTTTTCAAGAGGTGCATACAAAGGTGAACTGTGAACCAGTGAGCAAGTTCAGTGATAAGCTAAATGTAAACTCCAGGCCTGACTCCGAATTGTGTGACGATAACGGTGCGGTCAAGAAGTCTGTAGTTGCAACTGGTAAGCCATTGTTGAATAGAGTGTCACAAAATAGAATTACCGCTTCAGAGTGCAGTTCTGAACCTACAAGTTTACAAAGTATAAATGGTCAGACTGAAGATATAAAACCTTTAATGATTTGTGAGGAGGAGCCAAAATTGTCTACTTCTGTTATTAAAGAGTTTGAAAATGATTAACTTGACGGTAAATTGAATATTCGTGATAACGATCATGATAGTGCAGATTTCTCTTTGGTTGATCATGATGAAATGGAGGGAATGCCTACTACCGCTAAGTTAAATAAAAGATCTGTAGAACTTGAACGTGAAGTAGAAATAAATTCAGGTGCAGTTGCAGAAGGCATGCATACTTGTCAGACCGTCAGTGTGAGTGATCAGCATGTAGCCCACCTATTATCAGATGCTAGTGCTAAATTTGAGCTGATAGTAAAAGACAGCAGTGGTGGTGGTCTTGCAGGTAGACAACTTTCTGAAAGTCGAGCAACAACAGCTTCTGATCCACCGCTAACTTCATCAACTGATATCAATCAGTCGTCGTTGGTGCTGTCATCCACAATGAAACAGACGCCCATCAACTCAAGTATCTTGTGCAATGACTATGATAGTATCAGTCCTTTTGAAGAGACGAAAGATATTGGTCAGTTAAGTGAGGATAAGCCAAGTGTAAACGAGAGAGTAATTGTTAAATTGACTTGCAAGAATAAAGGCATTTCTAGTTTCAAGTTACTATTTGAATGGTATTATCTTTGGTGTAAATTACTCTGTGCCTACGCTTGGTTGACCAGATACGTCGTATGTTTGTTCGTCATCTATATTCTACGATACAATGACATGAGCGTGTTACCGTTCAGATTTGAGGATATATCTGATAGAAGGAAGTCAGCAAATGAACTCTGCGACGATTTTCCAACCTAGGGCGTTAACCTGAAGAGGGTTGTAGGCGTACTGCTGTAAGTCCTACAGTTCTTCAAAGGGTAGCGCATCAATGATCAGTCTAATGTGCTCGGTGTGTGATTTTGTACATATGTTCATATTGTATATACTGAATTGATATCATCTGTCATCTAGCTGTTGGTAATTCTGTTTGTGTCCGGACATTCCACAACTTACAATGGTCAACCTGTGAAGGGTTGCAGGTGTACTGGTGTAAGTCCTGCAATCCTTCCAAGAAATTCCATCAAGACATGATCGGCGATTTTGTGCTAACTGTTTTTATATATGTGTGGTGTGTCATATCAATTGGTGTTTGTTGGATTCATTGTGTTTACTCGTTGTTTTCGTACCTTGATTTTATTGCATAATTTTGTTAAAATTTTCGTCGTGATTACTTCTGAAGTTGTGTCCACTCATCTACATCCATGAATAAATTGATTAATGTTAAGGACAGCAGATGGGGCGTATACGCCGGGGAGGCTAGGCTATTGCTGAGAATGAAATGCACACGGAGATAATTGTTAGCTGCGGTCCCACACGCCGGGGAGAAAGAGTGTAAACGACTGAGGCTTGCATGCGTCAACGCTACTAGAACTGAGGCAGAATGAGTGACAAGCGATTGCAGTGGTAATTGGTAGTGAGTAGATAAGAGGATGTGCGTAGAGTATCATGAGTTGGTGCTATGGTCACGTTGCATTCTGCAAGAGACATTCTAGCAAGTGGAGATTGTGTTGCAAGATGTCAAGAGGAGGTCTTTTTCTGGAGGCGCAGGTCGTCAGCGATGTGTGAGATTGTGGTGTGGGTATGCTTGTGGTGTGTTGGCTTTTCTGTTTGTTTTCCATTTCAGCTCTGTCCGTGTGACCCAGGTTCTCGCAATGGCATCGAAGTCAACGTGTATTGGTCGTGATGGAAAAAATGGTTGGATCCGTATTTTGCCGGGGAGTGTCAATGTAGTTGAAGATTGAACGATCAATTCTTGGTTGTTTGCTTAAAATCAACTTCCCCAATTTTCGCGGAGGCATCAATACGACAGTCATCGTCTCATCGGTCGCTGTTCAGAAAGAATAGTGAAACATCGTCAGAAGTAATACAATGATTTATTATTGTAATATTTGTTTTCAGACCTTAGTTCACTTATTCTTTTTATATGTTGGTGTAACAATAAAGAAATATCAAGCGGCAGATCGGTGTTTTGGTATTTTCGTCCGTTATAACTAAGCGTTCCTGAAATCTTCAAAGAACAGCGTTGGCCCGAGCGTAGCGAGAGCTGGGCATTAACGCTTTATGAGACGTGACTGACACCAGTTGCAACTGCAGACTTCTTGACCGCACCGTTATCGTCACACAATTCGGAGTCAGGCCTGGAGTTTACATTTAGCTTATCACTGAACTTGCTCACTGGTTCACAGTTCACCTTTGTATGCACCTCTTGAAAACGTGTAAAACACAGCGGTGTTTGTCTTGCATCTTGTAACTTATCTGTTGAGGATGTACCACGAAACCTGTTATACTCACTAGGTCTATATGCATTACTAGACATCATGGAGCCTTCTCGATATCCACCTCTCTGAGGCCCTTTCGTCATCAATGATTGCATTTTGCTCTCAGACTGCTCTATTCTAAGGGTGAGATGTAATAGACTGGCAAACTTGCTCATAGATTGATTGAGACTATATTTTACTAGTTTCAGGATATCATCGAACTTTGGCTCGATACCCTCATCGTCCATACGGGAGGTTATCTTCACCCACTTCCTTTGCAGTCAAGCAGGTAGGCGTCTTGCTATTACATCTAGTATAAAACTCGAGTTGAGGACACTCATGAAATTCATCGAAATCAATGCATTCTTGTTAATCAGCAAACTATCGAAAAATTAAGTGAGTGCTTCGGAGTCATGCTGTGTTTAATAATAATAATGTATATTCTGATATAAACATATAAATTTACATGAAAATGCATGCCATTTTTACAGGCACGATCAAGTATGATATAATATCAAATCGTAGATTGTCTACAAGTTAATAATGTTTCAACAGTTAAATATTTGATATATATATAAATACACATTGTCTGAACTAGGCTGTATAGTTATTGAATTGTACAATTGTCCTCCAGGTTGAGCGGGAAAATGGACTTCGTTTCGTTTTCATCCCGTGGTTGTCGGCATACGATAACCAACCAAAATTGAGGTAAGTACAACGTTTACAAGGGATTGAAAGCTGTTTTAGAAAAGTAAAAGTGCTGAGGTGAATCATTAAATTGTAATGAAATAGGTAAGTGCAAGTATCATTAATAAATGCATTAAAAAAGAAAACTCCCTAGGCTGACAACGTTCATTTGCAATGTATAATGCTACACGTATACCTCGTACTATCATGATGTCCACTTTTGGTTTTAATACATTTATCCTCAGTTGTGCCAGTTGTTTTTGTTTTATACCTTTTTGTGCATTTAATGTACAACCGTACCCTTCAGAGAGTAGGAATATAATAAGTCATAAAGAGCTGTAAAATGTTAGGTTTAATGGAATACAATGAGGATCAAGTAAAGACGTTATTGGAAAATGAATGAGATAAGACATTGTGAAGTGGTATTTAAAGATCAGACAATGGACAGCAAGTTAGTTTATAAGATGCCCCATAAATCTGTGCACATCCCACATGGTCGCATCTCAACAATAGGCTGGGCGAATGGTATATATTTAGAGGTAGAAGCATGATCTGTCAAGGCGTTCATTATTATCTTTTTCAAGATAAAGATCTAAGCCCTCATAAAAATCAGAAATATCTCGAGCCTTTAATTTGTATATTGCTGTTCCTGCAGAATGGGGCGATTCACCTTAGTGACCCCCACCATATCTACTGATCAGCTAACGCCACCCTCCCTCCTTTTTTGATGTTAAGCTCTGAGACTATGATTATTATGGCTACCGCAAATATATTGCTTGGTACCAGACATGTTCGTACCTCATATTCCATCTCCCTAGCTTTCTTAATGAGTGCTTCCAATAGGTCTCCGCGTACATCTTTATGAACATTATATATGTATGCATGCGTCCTAATGAACAGATTACTTTACAAGAAGTTAGAACCTTAAAGAATAAAAAGAATAGGTTTTGTGAATAGTGAAGCAAGATTCAGCAGAACAATATAGTTAGGGATCAATGTAGGTAGTATGAACTGAAGGTAAGGTCGGTTGGCAGGACTTAGTGTACTAAATTATCATGACAGTCTTATATATAGTCAACATTTGACATTGCAAAGTAACCTGTCTACATATATTACAAAAAGATATTAACAGAACCAACAAAATTTCAGCATTTGTTTAACAATACTACAGAAGGGTAGTTAGTACTACAGGTAGTCGTAAAGTAAATCAATCTATGTATAATAAGAGCATAGTCAGTGTCATAATTCGTATTATCAAAGAATACATTAGGCTCAATAACTGAGTGTTATAAGGGAAACAAGCATGGTAAAGCAAGAGAACACTTGCCGCATAGCTATTTTAATCATTTTAAGTATTTTAATGACAATCGAATTTCAAGTATTGAACCTACATAATTACTAAGTGTTATTATATTGGTATTGGGACTAGTGTACTTTCCGTAGTTAAATATTGAAAAGCCATTGTCTCTCCACTCTACCAGCAGTTGAGATCTTTGAGGCGGGCTAGGGTGGACATGTTTATATGTTTTTCTAGGCTCCTTTTGAAACTGTCAGGCCTTTCACAGGATCTTATCTCAGAGGGTAGTTGGTTCCAAAGTTTGCAATATTTAATGGTGAAGAAGTTAGCTCTAGTGGTGAGTTTATGGGTGTTAACCTTGAGAAGGTAGTTGTGGTTGCGTAGTCCATACGATTTAGGATTAGCCCAGGTTATGGACGAGTTACTGTTACAGTGCTTTCTTATAACTTTGAATAAGAGAAATAAATTGCACTTCACTCTCCTTAACCATAAGGGCTCTAAGTCCAGTCGAATACATCTGTCAAGGTATTCTATTTGCTGACCATAGCCTAATATGCGTTTCGTAAGGAATCTTTGGACACTTTCAACTTTTTTTCTGTCTGCTGATTTAAAGCTACTGTATAAGTGGGCACAGTATTCAAGTTTGGGGCGAATGCATATCTTATATATGGCTAATCTGGCTTCTGGAGTGTAAAAGTTGCGTAGCACAAAGCCGGTTAGACGTTTACAATCAGATACCACCTTATTTGCATGTTCAGTAAAGGTAAGATCTGAGTATGTTATCCCGAGATCTGTGACTGTGTTTGTGTTTGAGACAAGGTCACCGTACATGTATAGACACATGCTAGGTTTCCAACGTCCGAAGTATGTTATCCCAGATTTAGCTGGATTGAACGTTAACTGCCACTTTTCACTCCAATTACATAGACTATTTAGGTCTTCTTGGATTTTACTAACAATATTCATATCATTATAGTCAAAATCATAGACAACTTTGAGGTCATCTGCAAAGAGGTATGGCTTGCCATACTTGATCATAGAGACAATATCATTTATGAATACAATGAATAGGGAAGGGCCAAGAAAACTACCTTGACCACTATTACCCTTAACAGACTAGAATAAATTCTCTTCAATCATCGAAGGTTTTCCAAACCTTTGACGTAATATGCTCATAGCCTCATCGTAGCCCTCTTTTGGCTTCATAAACGTACAGCACTGTATAGCTCTTGCAGCAATTCCAGTGCAATACCTCATCAAATACATTAACTTCAATTCATCATTTAATAAAAAACCACTCAACATGATCTCAAACTCCTTTACAAATTGTAAATAATCAGCCGGGTTTCCATCAAAACACCGTGGTTCAAATTTAGGGAGTTTGATGTTCCTATTATCCCTGAACGGCGAAACAGTAACATCAACCATGTCATGCTTAACATCAGGCACATCGTTACAATTAACAGACAAGTCAACATGACTTACTTTCCTGTTTGCATCCAAGACGCTCTGTCTCTTCTTTGACCCAGGCATTGTTGAACTTGACCCAGTTCCGAAAACGTTCCAGATATTGCTTGTTCAAAGAGGACTTGACCGGCACCAGGGAAGATGAACGGTGACTATGCAAACATTCAGAAACTGTCTGAATCCGCAATAAAATGTTTCCACCGTCAAAAATTGACTTCACTGTCAGAAACAGTTGGCCACATCTCGTAAACCGTCAATGCCCAGCTCTTGCTACACTGGGACTCACGCTGTACCTTGAAGCTTTTCAGAAAAGCTTAGTAATAACGATCGCAAAATCAAAACACAAATTGGCTACTCGAAAAGCATTTATTTTAACACCAACATATTGAAAACTTTATTATTAAGTTTTAACTAAGGCCAATGTCAATGTAGTTCAAGATTGAACGATCAATTCATGATTGTTTGCTCAAAACCAACTTCCCCAATTTTCGCGGGGACATCAATACGACAGTCATCGTCTCATCGGTCGCTGTTCAGAAAGAAGTCAGTAGGAAACTGTCAGAAGTAATATTGTGATTTATTATTGTAATATTTGCTCACAGACCTTAGTAGAATAATTTTTTAAATGTTAGAGTTACAATAAAGAATTCTCGAGTGGCCAATCGGTGTTTTGATTTTCGCGTCCGTTATTACTAAGCGTTTCTGAGAAACTTCAAGGAACAGCGTTAGCCCGAGCGTAGCAAAAACTGGGCATTGACGGTTTACGAGATGTGGCCAACTGTTTCTGACAGTGAAGTCAATTTTTGACGGTGGAAACATTTTATTGCGGATTCAGACAGTTTCTGAATGTTTGCATAGTCACCGTTCATCTCTCCTGGTGCCGGTCAAGTCCTCTTTGAACAAGCAATATCTGGAACGTTTTCGGAACTGGGTCAAGTTCAACAATGCCTGGGTCAAAGAAGAGACAGAGCGTCTTGGATGCAAACAGGAAAGTAAGTCATGTTGACTTGTCTGTTAATTGTAACGATGTGCCTGATGTTAAGCATGACATGGTTGATGTTACTGTTTCGCCGTTCAGGGATAATAGGAACATCAAACTCCCTAAATTTGAACCACGGTGTTTTGATGGAAACCCGGCTGATTATTTACAATTTGTAAAGGAGTTTGAGATCATGTTGAGTGGTTTTTTATTAAATGATGAATTGAAGTTAATGTATTTGATGAGGTATTGCACTGGAATTGCTGCAAGAGCTATACAGTGCTGTACGTTTATGAAGCCAAAAGAGGGCTACGATGAGGCTATGAGCATATTATGTCAAAGGTTTGGAAGACCTTCAATGATTGTTAGGAGGGTATACGAAGCTGTCAAAGGTAACGGCGGCCAACTTCAAGATTACTCCGAAGCACTTACTGAGTTTTTAGATAATCTTTTGACTTATAAGAATACCTTGATTTCGATGAATTTCATGAGTGTCCTCAACTCGAGTTTTATACTAGATGTAATAGCAAGACGCCTACCTGCTTGACTGCAAAGGAAGTGGGTGAAGATAACCTCCCGTATGGACGATGAGGGTATCGAGCCAAAGTTCGATGATATCCTGAAACTAGTAAAATATAGTGTCAATCAATCTATGAGCAAGTTTGCCAGTCTATTACATCTCACCCTTAGAATAGAGCAGTCTGAGAGCAAAATGCAATCATTGATGACGAAAGGGCCTCAGAGAGGTGGATATCGAGAAGGCTCCATGATGTCTAGTAATGCATATAGACCTAGTGAGTATAACAGGTTTCGTAGTACATCCTCAACAGATAAGTTACAAGATGCAAGACAAACACCGCTGTGTTTTACACGTTTTCAAGAGGTGCATACAAAGGTGAACTGTGAACCAGTGAGCAAGTTCAGTGATAAGCTAAATGTAAACTCCAGGCCTGACTCCGAATTGTGTGACGATAACGGTGCGGTCAAGAAGTCTGTAGTTGCAACTGGTAAGCCATTGTTGAATAGAGTGTCACAAAATAGAATTACTGCTTCAGAGTGCAGTTCTGAACCTACAAGTTTACAAGGTATTACTAGTCAGAGTGAAGTTATTGAACCTTTTAGGATTTGCAAGGAGGAACCAAAATTGTCTACTTCTGTTATTAAAGAGTTTGAAAATGATGAAGTCGACCAGATAGATGATGGTGAAGTGAATATTTGTGATAATGATTATGATACTTCACAGTTTTCTTTGGTTGATCATGATGAGATGAGGGATATGCCTACTACTGCTAAGTTGAACAAAAGTGCTGTACAACTTGAACGTGAAGTAGAAATAAATTCAGGTGCAGTTGCAGAAGGCATGCATACTTGTCAGACCGTCAGTGTGAGTGATCAGCATGTAGCCCACCTATTATCAGATGCTAGTGCTAAATCTGAGCTGATAGTAAAAGACAGCAGTGGTGGTGGTCTTGCAGGTAGACAACTTTCTGAAAGTCGAGCAACAACAGCTTCTGATCCACCGCTAACTTCATCAACTGATATCAATCAGTCGTCGTTGGTGCTGTCATCCACAATGAAACAGACGCCCATCAACTCAAGTATCTTGTGCAATGACTATGCTAGTATCAGTTCGTTTGAAGAGACGAAAGATATTGGTCAGTTTAGTGAGGATAAGCCAAGTGTAAACGAGAGAGTAATTGTTAAATTGACTTGCAAGAATAAAGGCATTTCTAGTTTCAAGTTACTATTTGAATGGTATTATCTTTGGTGTAAATTACTCTGTTTCTACGCTTGGTTGACCAGATACGTCGTATGTTTGTTCGTCATCTATATTCTACGATACAATGACATGAGCGTGTTACCGTTCAGATTTGAGGATATAGCTGATAGAAGGAAGTCAGCAAATGAACTCTGCGACGATTTTCCAACCTAGGGCGTTAACCTGAAGAGGGTTGTAGGCGTACTGCTGTAAGTCCTACAGTTCTTCGAGGGTAGTTTGTCGTGCCAGAATCCACAACATTTGATGTGTTGATTGTACATATGTTTGTGTTAAATAATTGTGTATGTTCCAATTATTGCAGTTGTTGATTGATCTCGTGTGTGTCCGGACATTCCACAACTCACAATCGTCAACCTGAGAGGTGTTGTAGGCGTACTGGTGTAAGTCCTGCAATTCTTCGAAGGAATTCCATCAAGACCTTATCCGCGATTTTGTGCTAACTGTTTTTATATATGTGTGGTGTGTCATATCAATTGGTGTTTGTTGGATTCATTGTGTTTACTCGTTGTTTTCGTACCTAGTTTTTATTGGGTAATTTTGCTAAAATTTTCGTCGTGATTACCTCTGAAGTTGTTTCTAGCTTCCTACATCCGTGAATGAATTGATTGATGTTAGAGACAGCAGATGGGTCGTATACGCCGGGGAGGCTAGGCTATTGCTGAGAATGAAATGCATACGGAGATAATTGTTAGCTGCGGTCCCACACGCCGGGGAGCAAGAGTGTAGACGGCTGAGGCTTGCCTACATCACCGTTACTAGAATTGAGGCAGAATGAGTGACAAGCGATTGCAGTGGTAATTGGTAGTGAATAGATGAGAGGATGCGCGACGAGCATCATGAGGTGGTGCTATGGTCACCTCGCATTCTGCAAGAGTCATTCTAGCAAGTGGCGATTGTGTTGCAAGAGGATGTGTCAAGAGGACACCTTTAACTGGAATGCGGAGGTCGTCATTGATATGTGAGATTGTGCTATGAGTATACTTGTGGTGTGTTGGCTTTTCTGTTTGTTTTCCATTTCAGCTCTGTCCGTGTGACCCAGGTTCTCGCACTGGCATCGAAGTCAACGTGTATTGGTCGTGATGGAAAAAATGGTTGGATCCGTATTTTGCCGGGGAGTGTCAATGTAGTTGAAGATTGAACGATCAATTCATGGTTGTTTGCTTAAAATCAACTTCCCCAATTTTCGCGGAGGCATCAATACGACAATCATCGTCTCATCGGTCGCTGTTCAGAAAGAAGTCAGCAATAAACCGTCAGAAGTAATATTGTGATTTATTATTGTAATATTTGTTCATAGACCTTAGTTAAAACTTAATATTAATTTTGCCTATATGTTGGTGTTACAATAAAGAATTCTCGAGTGGCCAATCGGTGTTTTGGTTTTCGCTTTCGTTATTACTAAGCGTTTCTGAGAAACTTCAAGGAACAGCGTGAGTCCCAGTGTAGCAAGAGCTGGGCATTGACGGTTTACGAGACGTGGCTGACAGTCTATGAACAAATGTTACAATAATAAATCACAATATTACTTCTGACATTTTCCTGCTGACTTCCTTCTGAACCGCGACCGATGAGTCGATGACTGGTGTATTTATGCCTCCGCGAAATTTGGGGAAGTTGGTTTTGAGCAAACAACAATGAATTGATCGTTCAATCTTCAACTACATTGACAAATGTCAGAAATGCGAATCCATCGCAAACTGAATATATATAATTTAACTAATTATCTATTCACCCCTCTATATTAAGTTTGTGCAGGTATAGATGATTATGCTAGATATATTTTTTCTGCTGACTCTTCTAGAGATAAAATCGGCCTTCAGCTGAACATCCGCAGTTAAATTCTACCAGCATATATGGGATGGCCAAGTTTTTCCATTAGCAACGCCAGGATGTTATTCGGATACCAATCATTGCAGCTGGGAGAAATACAGTTCATCGAGTAGGGTAAGAGTGAGATGTTAACGCAGCCCTCAGTTACCGGTTAAAGCGTTCAGTCTGCCCAGTGAGTTGATGGTGATGTGCTGTTCGGTGGGTTCTGCTTAGTTTTGAGTATTTTGACAAGTAGGTGAAGGGCATCAACCAGAATGGAACTCCTCCGTCAATTGTTATTATTATAAGCACACTGAACATGGTTACTCAGTGTTGAATAATGTCCTTTACTGCCTTTTCAGCTATAATGTCAGTAAGTCATGCAGTGAATATATCAGTGAGCGTAAAACAAGTAAGCGAATCTGTTAAAGTATTGTAAGGAGCCTACCACGTCCATACGAATAATAATATAATAATATATATACTAACACGGATGAGGTGGACATATCATTGGGGAAGTGTCCCTAAAGAGGACATTTTGTCCGTCTTCTGATTTCACTGTGATAATGAAAAGTACGAAAAAGTATAATGGATTATTATGCACACATACTTAGCAGTTTGTCAGTGTTAACCGTCCAGTGCACGATTAAAGCAAATTCCTTAATGTTGGGGTGGGCCTAGGGTTGAACTGGGAACAAAACATAAATCTCAAAGGACGATTATATGGCACATCCCCTATTTGAAGTGGCGCCTCCAGGTTTACCCTGACGGTATTTGCATGGTTTAGTTGATTCAAGTTAGGGCCAGTCGTCCAGGAAACGCAGTTGACGTGATTTTGGTGCTTATTTGCTCTTGTTGGATGAATTTATATGAAAATTGTTGTTCGATATTGCTCTTGAGCATTTAAGTATTGCTTGTGTGGCAGGACGCTTGGATAAACCGTTCATGCAATGAATATTTGGCATACCAAGTAAGCTTCGCGTACATTTCGACGACTGTCATTTGATAAATTTCTTTGCAGCTTGGCGGAAACCTCTACTTGATCGTAAATTTCCCTATCATTTGTTTTGCTGTACCTATATCTGTTGCGGGAACCAAAGAATATGGTTGATATCGAATTCGTGCATGGTTCCACACGTTTGTGTGGTGTTTTGATCGCTGAAAGTCAATGGTATGCATAGATACAAGCGAAAATTGGTGTTCACAACTAGGCAGAAACTGATATATGTTTTACGATCACTTACAACATTCACTGTTTTCTGCCAAAATTTTCAATTGAGTTAAATGCACACTTCAGCATACTAGTAATTTGGTGGATTCGAATACCATCCTCGCGATCAGGTACGTAAGGATATCTGAGGTGTAAGTCATGTTGTCCCATTGTTAGGTTTCGTTTCATAAACTTCCGATTTTTGTTATTGTCCTGACACCATATTATTTGCGTTTGTTCAAAGTCAATTAGCAAAATTATTTTGGAAACGCGTAAAAGTAGTGTTCGGCGTCTCTTAAAACTATGGACGTAAGGTTTAGAAGCGGTTGCTGCATCCATTTAGGGAGGACTCACTGATTTCTTCAAGTAAGGGCAACGCATTATATTCCTAAATGCCTCCAAAAGCGAACAGAATATTCAGAAGCTATTAATGGTGAGAACAAGAGCCCTAGCTCCTCTATTGCGAAACATCTTATAGAGACAGGACAAAAAATTGACCTTTGCACATTTTTTAAACCTACGTGTAAAATGTGTGTGGATTGTATCCTTAAGTTTGTGGAAGCCCAAGTATGATTAGGAAGTTTAAACCACCTTTGTGAGCTCCGAAACTTTTCGTCATCACACGAAACCTTCTTTGGTAAACTTTGTTTTAATACCAGTCAGGGTAGATGCACTGATACCTTTGTTATTTGGTTTAATGGTCTTCATTTTTATTTTGACCTTCAATATATGATTTTAATTCCCCTAAATTTATTTTCTAACCTGTTAACCCTGGTAATTTCATATGTATTCCTATGACAAGTCTATGCGTGACCAGATTGTCCAAAATGTGTCGCGCAAATACAACACTGCACCATTCTGAAAAGTTACGTCTTCTTATTACTTTGTCTAAATATCTACTTGTGTCAAAAATAGTGACTGATGTAACCGCACATTGGTATAAACTTTCATTGATTCTTACTGTGCTATTTTTTAATGATTATATCAGTAGTTATATTCATGTATACATCCTGTGAACCCTTGTTTTCTTTGTCCAGGGACGTCATGGGATTCTTTGCTGAAGAAAGTAGTTTTTAGTATCCTTGATTTTGTATATTGTG